TCTTCTTCTTCTTCTTCTTCTTCTTCTTCTTCTTCTTCTTCTTCTTCCTCTTCCTCCTCCTCCTCCTCCTCCTCCTCCTCCTCCTCCTCCTCCTCCTCCTCCTCCCTCAATTGTTGTATTTGCTGATAAGTAGCCAGCGCCATTTCTAAACGGCGAAAAATTTCTCTCCAATGGTCCTTGCCTTTCTTCATTTTTCCATATTCCGCTCTTCAACAAATAAAGCCATTTTCCCCCCTCTTCTTCTTCTTAAGACAATCAAAATATTTCAAAGCTTAGAACAATTCCCCAAAATCCCAAAGTCATCAAGCAGTCCAAACAGAGCACAAAGTTCTTTCCTTCACACTTTTTCTTCCTGGGGTAATATCAATTAGAAAGGAGAAAAAAGAAAAAAAGCCCAATCTGTATTTTAAAGTCTTATTGCAATTAACTTCCAGTCTCAAAGTCTTCCAGGCATCTCCTCCAACAAAGTCTTAATATAAATTTGTCTTTTGTCCTCTCCCTTCCCACTTATAACAAAGAGCTTTAAATTTTTACCTTCTATTAAAAAAACAGGCTTTTCAATATCCATTTGTTAGTTCCATAGGAAAGGAGAGTAAACTTTCTCTTTCAACACTTTCACTCGCCGCTTGTAACTCTCTTCTGGAAACAAAGTATCATTCAAAAAAAGTCAAGGTTTTCAGGATGTTAAATATGTCTTATGGTCCCGGTTCAGCCAAAAAAACTTTCGCTTCAAAACTTTCTCCTTCTTCCTCCAGCACAATCTTGTCCAGCTGCCGGCTTCTTGTGGCGGCCATTGCTGACCGCCGCTCCACCGCCTTGAGAAAAGGGGGTTATGCCAGGTGGGGAGAGGGTCTGCGAAACCCCGAAACCCCTGTCCGGATCCCCCCTATCTTCGGCTGCCTCTACGGGGCAGCCTTATCCTCCAGACCCATCGGGATCGGAGGCACCAAGAAGGCTAGCGCAACAGGGATCACGCAGGATCACAAAACCCCGCCGCCGCTGAAGCCTGGCAAACCGGAAGTCTCCCTGAATTCATTGTTGACTGATTCTGCTTTCTGCAAAAGTGCTTTCGCAACCTGTAGATGCTTACACTTTTCTTCTGCTTTTGCCTCAATTATTCTCCAAGTGCCATGCTCTATATGCTCCTTTGAACATTGTCCTGTTCAAATTGTCAAAACCCATCATCCTTCCTTGGAGCACAACTTGAACAGCATTGACATAACCACTATCAGTCAGTTGCAAAAGCCGGCTTTGCTTGGAGCAACTGATATCCTGCAACAATACCTTTAACAGTTCAAACACTAACATCTGCCTATCCCACGTCCCTTGGAAGGACTCAATAGGTGGACAAGAAGGCCATATCCAGTAAAATAATCTGGTTAACTGTGATCGACAATAATAATAATGGTGGACTCACACATCAATTTGCAGGTGTCTAAATCTTAGGCAATGTAGGCTACAGGCTTAGTTAAAAACAGGTTGCTAAGATATTTAAAATTTAATAGCTGGAAAAGTGAAGGGTTGGACAATGAGTAAGAACACACAGTTATAGCTAATTGGTTGAAGAGAGCTGGCCACTGCATGAGGGAAACTGAGTTGTAATCGGTTGCTGTGAGAGTATAGGGGGAGTTTCCTTGTGTCTCTCCTTTTTCCTCTGTGTGCCCTATGTGCTGTCTCCAATTTAGCTCATTGTGTTTTTGCTGGGTTGATTTATCTGACAATGCTCTTGTTTGCCTATCTAACTCACTGTAAATATATTTATTTATATAAAACTGGTACATATCAGTATCTCTGACTCCATTTGGATACCAGCTGCACAATTCCCTGACAAAATAACATAGGCAAGGCCATTCTGTTCTTCTTCCCCTCGGAAACTTTAAATTCTCATCCAAAATGCTTCTTTAGTTCATTTTCAGAACTGAGGAAGCTTCTTGGATGAGAAGTGAAATATTTTCAAGGAAAAAAAACAAGAAAGTCAAGTTGCCTTTTGTAAAGCACCTTTGGGACAATAATGACCTAGATGATTGAGAATTTCTATAGACATTCCATTAGGATACTAGCCTAAAAGTCTAACTTGATTTGCAATTGCCTGCCTTAAATCTGTAACAATAACTGAGTTTTTAAAATCTCTTCTCTCTCCCAAAAGTGGGAAGAACTAATGTATTTCTTTACCTCTCTCATTCAGAGATATCTGTTTTATTCGTGGTCTTCTATTTCTTCCTGGACTGCTGGCATAACATATTTGCTGAGATCCTGCGCTTTGCAGACCGTTCTTTCTACAAGGTGATAACAAGGGGGAGGGGGAGGAGGTTGCAAGAAAGATATGAGGAGTCTGGATATACTTGAATCGTCCATTGGCCATGAAGAATAGTTTGAAAAACTTCACAAAGAGTTCTGAGATGTTATTGCTAAAAGAAAAGCAAATTTCAGCTTCCTAAAACAACTACATTGAAGAAGTTGACACTGAAGATTGCATGTAATCAAAGTAATAAATACAGGCATCCTCATTTAGCAATTGGTTGCAGTTACAACTATGATAATAAAGTTATGATCAATCCTCACATTTACAACCTCTGCAGGTCTGTAAAGCAAAATAAACAGAGCAATAAATAAATTTGGCAAATAAATAACATAACTGTTTTACTTAATGACCACTTAATAACTTTGTTGCTGCTCCCAATTTTCATTAAATGAAGGCTCCTGTAGAAACATGTATATTTAGGGAGTATAAGAGAGATCAAATAACGTGTTCGAAAGAGTTTGCAAGATCCCACATGATGGTTCATTCATGCCCTCCCAATGGCTGAAATCTAACTTTTCATGGCCCCCTTGACCCTCCCCGACCCTTAATCTCCCCCTTTCCTAACACCCAGGACGCCTCCTTGCTCTCCCATACCTGACAATAGCCACATACCTGCCTGTTTGAGAGTTGCAATTTCCCCCTGGTTT